AAAAAAGCCTCTCAACCTGGACAAAGGTCCACAAAAAGTGTAGGCTGAGGCTGGACATTGTTCTCCTCTCAAGCCTGACAAGCTAAATGTAGTTCGGAATACATTTAGATCTGAGAGGTGGTGAAAAATGAAGAATGTCTGTGGGTTTTTTCTTCTTCTCTGAGTATGTGCACATATGATCTGGCATGTTTGGTGAGTAAATTAAGCCCCTGGAGCCACAGGACAAATCTGACAGATGAAATGAGTGGAAAGGAGAGCGAGGGGGGGCATAGAGTGTAAAAAGAAATGCTGAGCAGAGAAGAGAAAAAAATCGAGGAACAGGGTACAGAAAAGAAGAAGGGAAAAGAGGCGAGGTGGAGCTGAGCGGAACACAGAGACGAAGGGAATAGGAGAAGGAATAATGGGGTAAGAGTAAGAGTACAGCCATTTCTAAGACAATTACAAAGAGGAAAAAGCTTCACCTGAAGCAGAAAATTCAAGCATATTTAACATCAAAGGGGACCTTTTCATAAAAGGCCTAATATTTCAAATATGAGTGCGAGGAAGGTAAAATGTTAGAACGTTTCATCATATTCCTTTAAGAACAACCTGTTTTGTTTCCCGGCACAAAGACTGTGGAACACACACTCCTTAATTAAAACCATGAATCCCTAACAAAGGAAAAATTACTTATTAAATGATACCGGGTATTTTTCGTCCAACGTGCTACACTAAGTTACGAAAATGAACAATTCTGTCACCTGGCTACGGCGCGGTGTGTGAATCCATCACCACCCTCTTCATTACTTTACCATCCAGATTGCTCTTTAGAATAGCACTGCAGGTCCGTCCAGCGATTGGTTATCTGCCAATGGGCGGTGGAGTGGACCGCTTTGCCGGCCACAGCCAAAATAGAGAAGCAATTTGGCTGCTTTCTGGTTTTAGTTTTCCGCTGCTTTTTAGAGATACTTGGTGCCAAAACTGTCAGCATGCATCGGGGGGGAAGCTTATTGAGATATCAATTATCTTTAGGCTTTGAAACTGAGTTTTTTCTTTTTTATATCCACTTCTAATGTTGCACCACTGTGCAGAAAGTTATAAATAAGACTTCATTTTAATACAATGAGGTATCTCACTGCTTTGACAGCCACGTGCAGATCAGTGCCAGAAAATGTGCCCCTTAGGGTTTAGAACTAGATCTATTCTGCCTCACGAAATCCAACCTTTCTCGCCTTTATTTGGTGGACACCCCACAAATCAAGATCTGAATCTGTCCATCAAAGTGAACCATAATAAAATCTTCTGAAACAGGCAACAAAAACGTTAGTGTCCAGCAGTTTTGATCTGAATTGCTCCACCCTGCTACCATACTCAGCCATGTGTCTCAGTTTGCCCTTCCCAGGATCGGTTCGCTTAATCGCTTTAGAAATCCATAGTATTGCAGCTCAGTCAGCCTACACACCATTTCCCTACACCGGAGGATCATGCAGACTTTACAGTGACAAATGGGTCTCAGTAGTGTCCACAGTTTCTTTTGCCTTCATGTTCAATTTTTCGGATTTGTCTCATCTTTTCTGCTTACCAAGTCTTAAGCCACGTTTTCTGACCAAATCTCACAAAAGTTTAGTCAGAGTCGTAGTTCTAAAACTCATTCAATCACTTTTCTATCAATTTATTTTCTAAAATATTTATTCTTATTTCTCAAACATTCTTTCTTTGAACTCTTTGTGAGTTTAATTTTCTTCTGCCATCTTCAAATTCTCCAACCTCCATTCTAAATTCTGTGCTTAGCTACCATATTATCTAACTCACAATTAGTCTTGACAATGGTATATTCATTCTTACTCAACTGTGTGTGTTCAGAACCTGAATATGGACGTTTGGTTTGACCTTTTGGTTGCCATTTGTGTGGCGACTTTTTAAGGATACTCTTGTACTATCATTTTTCAACGTGTGACATATCTGGTAGACTAAATGGCAATTTCCTGGATGTCTGCTGTAAAAGAGGACCCAAGTATGATCAAGTGAGGCCTTTCTTGAATCAATTATGTAATCCGACTCAGAAATAGTATTTTGGAATATAAAATGTGTGTTGTAGTGATGACGTAGTTCAAAGGGGATTCAAATTTATTTTTGACTGAATTATTTTTTGTTTAACTTAAAAGCAACATTCTGACAATTTCACCATGAAAGTTATTGTATAACTGAGTACACCAAACTCAGGTTTCTGCAAAGGAATCTACTGCCAAACTCTGCACATGGTCTTTATCTGACCTTTTAAGCTGTGCCTTGCAAAGTTACAGATATATATCATGACAAAAGCACATGGAAAGTTATAGAACAGGGGTATCTGGGCTAAGCAAGTGTCAGGTAAGTTGGATGTGACAGCATGGTCATGGAGATTTGTGAACTGTATCAGGAAGTGAACAGTAAAATAGAAAGCAAAAATACATGTCCAACTGAAGATTTCAACATTATTCTGCTCAAGTGAGGAAAGATGGTGGACGAAAAGGCAAGGGAGAAAGAAATTGTGTGAAAAAAAGTAAGAGGTAGGCTATGTGTAACACCTGGAATTAAAACAAATGCGTCGAGGTGGGGATTTAGGAATTAAATGCTATGTAAGTCAAAGGCCTCATCGATACAAACAACTCAGGTTCACACAAACACACAAGGAAAACACACTCACGCACACAATTTGGAATAAGCAACTCACGTTCGCTGCCACAGCCCAAGAGCTACCGCAAGAATATTTATTGGCTACCAGCTCAATGGCTGTATTGAGGGATGGGGAGGGAGTAAGAGAAAAAGACAGAAAGCAAACTGAATAGAGGAGAAAAAGAAGCAAGTAGAGAGAAAGAGGATGTTACCACTTATGTCCCTTTTCTCCCTTATCCATGTAAGGAATTTTTCTCTCTTTTTGCGTTCTTGCGCAAAACACCGCACACACACATCCAGGCAGCTCCCTTCTCACTCACACACACACACATGCACCGACACCTCGGAGATATCCTCACGAGCACGCAGACACCATCGCACACGGCGCACTCTTTTTTTCCCCCACACGCGCGCAGAAGGGAAGAAGCCTCTTTTTTCCATGACTGCAGTGGAAAGAAAGTCTCACCCCCAAAACCCGCGACTGTCCCCTCTGATAGGGAGGACATTTATGACACATGCGTGATCACCCTCATGTGTGTGTGTGTGTGTGTGTGTGTGTGTGAGGGGTGGAGGGGGGGTGTCGCATCCTCTTACCTTGCGCGCGCCAAGAGAGCGAGCACAGAACAAGGCTCCAAAGAAAACAGCGCATCGCCGTCATCCCTCCGTCCGTCCACCGCGCGCCGATCCCCCTCATCCGCCTCTTCGTCGTCACCCTCTTCATCCTCCTCGACGGGAGGTGCGCCAGACGGCGTTCCGTGCCTCTATGGGTAATAGAATTCACGTCCACGCATCCTCCGCGAGCCGAGCGCGAGCCCTCTGAGCTCTCACCGGGCCGCATGCTGCTTCACATCCAGAAAACGGAGGGAGACAGGACAGACGGAGAGGGGGAGAGGGAGGGAGAAAAAACCAGAAAAAAAGAGAGAGAGAGAGAGAGAGGGGGGGGGAGATAGAAGGGACAGGCGTGCGTTTTTTTTTCCCCTCGCCTCCTCCTTCTAGCATAGACTAAATAAATCCTTCAGTTCCGAGAAAAAAATGAATTTTGTCAACAATCCACAGAGTGGAACGCAAAGACGCAGAGGGACTGGCGCACAGGTTGCCTCTATATGTCGTCTCTATGTGTCTGTTCTGATCAGTTCCATCGCAGAAAAAAAAGTAATAGAGGAGGAAGAAGAGCTTTAAATCCACTCTTCCTTCAGCTGCATCCCGTCTTCATTCTGAAAAATCCTTCTAGGCTCGGGCTTTTCCCGTTCCTTATCCCCCTATATGTGCCGTTTTCAGCGTGCGTCTATACCCTCTCGTTATTTAAAAAAAAAAATCCCTTTAGCTCTCGTCTAGGTTTCTTTTCCCACCGGTATCTCAAACGGACAGAGATCTATGTTCTGTCTTTCTTCCCTGTCCGGATAATCCTCCTCTCCTCCTCCGTCTCTTGACTCATGCGTCAGTGAAACAGTCTTCTTTTTTCTTCTCCCCTCTCATTTCCACCTGTCACAAACTGCGAAGGAATTTTTTTGCATCCTAAACCCCCCCCCTGAAAAAAATATAAATTCGTTATTCTCATCAATCTCCCATTCGTCTGACTTCTTTTCAAATAAACATCAGCTGTCACTCCTTGTCACATCCTTACCAAACAAGCCAAATTAGAGCTTGCTCGTTACGCGGAGGCAGTCCTATAGGTTCTCTTCAGAGGTCCAGCGAGTCAGAAATATTGAAAAAATCCCCCTTTTTTCTGTCAGAAATCAGAGGAGAAACGCATCCTTCCTGCTGCTGGGTCCACTCTCCTCTCTCGGTGCGTCTCTTCCCTCTGCCCGCCGGTACAGAGATGAGATGCTGCCTTCACGAACTCCCCGTTCTGCTATACCTCCCGCTGCTGTTCACGTGCTCCTCGATGGAAACCATCACCATCATGTAAAAGAGACTTTTGAAAGCATCGTCTGCTGTTTGGATGGAGGATGGTTTCTAAATCGACTAATTTTTGGCAATCCTCGATGGTGACGAGGTGGGAAATAGTCGTGTCCACTGGCACTGAGGGGTGGATGCACGTCAAAAGTTAAGAGTTATATAAATAAAGGCAATTCGTAAAAAAACAAAGAGGTATTGCCATTGAATTTGAATTGACAAGGATTCCAAGTGAATATTTACTCATATACTGTCCACTAACTTGCTACTGACTAATTTTTCCATTTGTTTTCTGGATTAAATCAATACAAAGGAGAGTTGGGATTTTGGAGCAAATGGGAAATACACACACACACACACACACACAAGCACACACACAAACCAATCATCTTACAATGATTTATCTTGCACAGACTCCAAAAACACATAACCCTCCAAAGATAGTCCAACCCAGTAGTCAATGGGCAAGAGGCGGGGACATTTTAACTCGTTGAATTTAAAAGAAATACAGGTTCAAATGTGATTCTGTCACGATTCTTATTACCAATAAATAATAACGCACACAACTCCACATCATAAAACCTCAGCAATGAGCAATTTTTTAGACCCCCTCTTTAAAAAAAACGACAAAAAGCTGTATTCAAACATAACTACATATAAAGATGCTTCTACTCAGTCATTAAATCAAAAGGAGTTTTCAGCCTGAGTCTGATTCAGTAAAATGTTTTCACACATTTCTTATTCACCTCTTATTTGAAGGATTTGCATCACAGATCATATAAAGCTATCTTTTTTTCATTGTTGTTCTATGGCAGGGGATTTCCATGCAAGGTTCGGAATAGGTCATGTTTAGACATATAACGATGCTTAGTCCTTGATCCTGAAGCTGGCAGACAACCCAGTGCAGCTTTTCACAGGAAGGATGAGTTTTTATTTAAAAGTTTTGACTACGACAACGTGTCTGAGAACTGAATTGAAACTGCACTGCACAAAGGCATTCAGACATCCACAGGTGCGGATGAATAAGTGCATTTAAATCTCATTCTGAAATGATAACTGCATCTATGGAGAGTTATTTCTGCGCATTTGTCAGATGTCATCGTTTATCCTTTAGTTGGTAATCTTGATCTGAGAACCAAATATTATCAGACTTCTTATATTTCTGATCTCAACCTATACTGCACAAAGGAATTTACAATGCATTGATTTAAAAAAAAAAAAGCACAAAAATCTCCTCACTCAATAACGTGTCAGATTAATGGTGCTCCTGATCTTCTGGTCATTTATTCTCACCGGGGTGCAGCTTTTACGTGGTCTGCAGCTGAATGGCGGAGGGAGGGGCTGCACGCATCTTCTGTAAATCAATTTAGGGAATATATCAGCTGAAAAAAAAATCTCAGCTGTAAAAATGTGTCTACGTAAGTGTTGCCTGACAATAACATTTGTTTGTGATACCTATTCACGCTCCCCTTAAAGCCCTCTTCTGCCATCTACAGGCACACTCACTCTCACTCTTTTCTAGTTTGATTTCCCTCCATCACAAACCCCGGCGTTAATCACCCCTGGTATCATCTAAATAGTCCGGACACACAATCTCGGCCTCTGGAAGTGCTCATCCACAGCCCTGTGTATTGTCTAAACACATCTACACCGTTTTTACCCGTGCCACAAATCCTTCTGTTTGCAGATTTCCGGGCCTTTCTTTAGCTCCGGGTCTGTGCTGTTTCCCGAAAAATCAATAAGCTGTGTGTGAGGTTTGTGTCCGGAGAGAAAAGGGGAGAAAGAACAAGCGTGGAGAGTGGCAGGAAGAGGGGGAGTTAAAGAGGGGGAGAAGGACGGAGAATTGTGCAGTCGGAGATATATGGAGGTGTGAAGAGTTGAGAAACAGATGGGAGGAATACAGTGTAAGAAAAGGAAAAGTACCCAAGAGAGATTGGGGGGGATGGAAAGAGGAGAAACAAGGTGATGCAACAAGAAAAAAAAGGTAAACGAATTACAATGGATGGGAGGGGAGTGAGGAGAAGGCAGAGAAATGTAAAGGGAGCTAATACAAGAAGAAAAGCGAAGGGAAAGATAAAAGAGAAGAGAGGCAGAGAAGAGGGTGCACGGAAAAAGGGGGAGGTACATGCTGTAAAACATTCAGGTTAGAGAATCGCAAATGGGGAGTGAGGGAGGAGGAACTGTAACTGTGGCTCAAAATTCAAATGAAAATATGCTTTAGAGAAGAAGGGAATAGAAAGGAAGACAAAAAGAGAGAGAGACAATACAAGAAAAGGGCTGGAGAGTTTTGCATAGGTAATTACCATTTCTCATTGGTTCTCTGATGCTCCTCCAAAAATAAGACACACTCACCTGACAGGTTTTATATATTTCAGCATGACCCAAAATTCACATTACATCCTTGAATTATTCTGCCTTATGTTTGATTTTTTTCTGGTTAGTTTTTCTTTTTTTTCCTAAGCTAGCTAATGTATCACAGGTTGAGCCATCAGCACCTTCTTCAATCTGGGTTTCCCCACAGAGAAATAGCGCCGCTTCAAATGAGGCGGCCCACATTATTGCTATATTTCCAAAAGTCCATCTATTTGTATCCATTACCGTGCAACTGTTGTGAACACAGCAGTCAGTTTGTTTTTGATGATTGATGATGACGCACCCGGTTTGTCTGGATCCCGAAGCAAACAGCCCCACAACAGCTTAAATCAATCTTCAATTTCTCCTCTATTTGTGTCCCTTAGTGTTGGTAATAAGAGATGGCACAATGGAACACGGCAAATCTTTTAACAAGCCCGTTTATAGATATTATGACTTGGATTATATTTGTCATTACTGAAGCATCCTGAGGAGATAAACACTAGCATCAAGCACCTGCTGGAAAGAACACGCTCCCTCCATGTTTAATCCTTCATCATTTTCATTATTACACTTTTACACCTTTATATGAAAATGCCTTATGAGATGAGAATTATCTGTGGAGAGATTTCTTGAAAAACCTTCTCTCTTGATTTTTACTAAAGCCTGATCGGAGAGGGATTTTATCTGTTTGACTTCCAATAAGTCTTGAACCTCGTAAACGAAGATAATTTACACATCCATTTTTTTTTTTTAAAGACATATCTAGAATGAACAATCCACCCTAGTTGTAGCAGCTACACAACACAAGAGTAAGATAGCATCATCCTCACAACGTGGTGAGCAGCCAGCTGTGAAATATACGAATGGCGTTTGTTAGAAATCATAAAAAGCAGCATAGAAAGCTTTACCTTTTTTTTTTTCCAATTGTTGGCAGATTAAGTTTCCCTAATCCACTAATGAGATAATTGACTAAAGAGATATCCAATAAGGAGCGCTGGAGGGCGAGAAGACAGCTCCCATTAACACAATATAGCGATTCCCATTCTACAAAAAATACATACACATCAATACGCAAGCTCCGAGGCCCACAAATACAAATACAACAGAGTATTTGTTCACCGCCAGCTGCCTGCGTACGAGGAGTTTTGCTCGTGGGGGGGAGCACAACAGACTGTGTAAATGGCTGTGTGTCTAGCAGTCTGTCTGCGTGAAAGGAGGGGCAACCTACAACAAGAGGCAGCATCATTGACTTAGTAACAAGGTGCCGGTGGCTATTGCAAGCTGACATGCCGAACGTACACAAACACTCACAAATCAGATCCCGGCTCTGATGAGTTTCACACATGGCTGGAACATCAGGAGTGCGACCCACCGGTGTTGTGATGACAGAAAGAGATGCCATCTGATTGAGGAGTGCCCTGCAGAACATCTACGTGTGTTTTCTGAGCCATATTTTTGTTTATTTCGCGC